TCCTAACTTGTTTTTGTCCTGTGGCCCTGCACGCCTCTCACTTTTGATTTTCCTATCTACTGTTTTTGCATTTTACTGTTCTTTCTTTCATTACTGTCCTTGTTTCTCTTTCCCTTGTCACCCTGTTCAGGTTCCCATCTCCATGGCAATCTAACTAAAACCCTTCCCAATCACACTAGCTTTAGGACATCAGTCCCAGTCCTGCTTAAGTGTAACCCATTCAGTTTGTACTGGTCCCATCTCCCCCAGAGCTGGTTCCAACGTTCAGGAATCTGAAACCCTCTCCCTTGCTCCATCTTTCTAGCCATCTATTCAACTGATAATCCCTACTATTTGTACTCTGATCAGCACATGGCTCTGGTAGCAATTCTAAGATTACTATCTTTGAGGTCCTACTTTTCAACTTACTTCCCAATTCCCTATTTTCTGCTTTTAGGGCCTCATCCTTTTTTAAAATCTGTCATGGGTAACAACCACTGGCTGTTCACCCTCCCTTCCAGGATGTCTTGCAGCTGCTTTGAGACATCCTTGACCCTAGCACTCAGGAGGCAACATACCATCCTAGAATCCTGTTCGCAGCCACAAAAATGCTGATAAATTCCCCTTAGATTTCAGTCTCTATAACTATTGCACTCCCACACTTTCTTCTCTTTTCCAGTGCAGCGGAGCCAACCAAGGTGTAACAAAAAAAAATGAAAGAACTGCGGATGCTATAAATCAGGAAAAAACGCAAAGTTGCTGGAAAAGTCCAGCAGGTCTGGCAGCATCTGTGAAGGAAAAAACAGAGTTAACATTTCGGATCCGGTGACCCTTCCTTAGAACTGATGGTGTAACAAATTTGGCTGTTACTGATTGCCCCTGAGAGACCATTTCCCCCTTCCCAACAGTAGCCAAAGCAAGGGAATGGACACAGGACCTTCTTGTACTACCTGTACCTAGTCCTGTTGCTCTGCCTGATTGTCACCCATTCCCCTTCTGCCTGTAATGATGCTCATCTGAAGAGTTGGTGCAGACAGATTGGGCCAAATGGCCTCCTTCTGCACGATATTACTTCAGTTATTCTAGGAACAGATGCCAGCTGGAGTATTCCACTTAGCTCTGGACAGTGCACCTTAGCAGCGAAACAGTGGCTGGATTCTATAACTCACTTATTCTTCATGTTCTGAAGAAGGGTCACTGGACCCGAAACATTAACTCTGATTTCTCTCCACAGATGCTACCAGTCCTGCTGAGCTTTTCCAGCAATTTCTGTCTTTGTTTCGGATTTACAGCATACGTAGTTCTTTTGGTTTTTACTTACTTATTTTTGTTTTCCATCCATCTTATTTCTCATTCAACTTTGGTGTTTATTTTGTAATTCTACCTAAATGATTTGTTTAATTCCCACATCATTCCCATTCCTGTATACGTACCGTTACTGATGTAACCCGCTCCTCATACTTACTTCGGTATCTTGCATTCTTTTCCAGCGCCACTAATTCATTCATGTTCCGCGATAGTAAAAAATAAGATGGGTTTCCACGTCACTTAATCTCTTCTGTCTAGTGAAACTGTCAGCCCTTATCAGCATCTTGTGCTGTTAGTGCTGAACTTTCACTGGGTCAGATGTGACAAATGGTTCCCGTTTTCTGTATTTCCGTTTCATCGGTAAGTGCTCCCCAAGTGGTTTAGAAATATAGAAAAAAACAACACGGCAGCAGGTTTTTTTTTGTTTCAGTTAAGCATGTGCTTATAAAACCGAAAGCAGACATTGCAATGCTGTTTGACTTCTTGCGGACGATGGGGCACCATCATGGCTCGTAGAGAACCGGAGAAACCGGTGTTACAGGTCAATTTTTAAATGGAGCAACTCAAAATGAATCTCACTATTCTAAAACTTGTTCGAATCCTGTATTTGCCAGTTTCCTCTCCGAGAGTGCATATTTTCTCTTTTTAACGCATTGAGAGAAAAGTGCAACATGCCTTTGGGAAATACAAGTTGTGGAAATCATGCTTAGCGATGGTGCCTGTTGCTCGTGATTTATTCACTAATCAGACATATGACTCACGACATTGAGGCGAATTTAGTGGGCAGCACTGAGAAAATGTTGCAAATCAAATGGGGGAGAAAGGCATTGCTTTCTTCTGGTGACTTTGAAGACTAAGCAAATTTGAAAGCTTGGAGAGAACTGTCCTTCCAAGTGAAAATTGAGCGGCAAGATCTTGAGCAATAAAAAAGAGGCGTGTTCTTTTTTTATCTCTGATGCCAGCTAAAAAAGCTGTACTTAAGTGATACGTAGTCTGCTCGTTCCTACAGGTTCTGAGAATGGCAGGAGTAGCTTCAAGAACAGTGTTCACCAAACCCAAGGTAAGGCGCAATTTAAATGTGTCAAAATTCTACATTGCTGTGTGATGTTAATTCAACCTTTTGTTTTGGCAAGGAGCGCTTGTTTACTTTTAAAGGACTTTCCCATCCGTCGCTGCTTAACACACACCAAAACGTTTTGATTGCATTTGCTGGGTGCATATTTTGATTGACTGCGTGAGGCCAGAGGTAGTGCCTTCGAAAGATTTGTTTAATTTTCAAAACGTCCGTTTGGAAATTTATTATTTTGGGAATGTTCTTGCAGCCGCAGCGTTTTCCACGCGCCTCCCCCCACGCCCCAAAACCTGCGGTCATTCATCGATCTGAAGATTGCGTTTACTACACACATTTAATGTCCTGCTAGTGTTTGTTGTGCAGTACGTCAGTCCTAGTTTGAGGTGATGTGGAGATGCCGGTTTTGGACTGGGATGGACAAGGTCACAAGTCACACCACACCCAGCACCGAAAGCCTGTGATTTCACATAAACCTGTTGGGATTATAAGGTGGTGTAGTCTGAAGTGTTAAACTGCTTTAGTTTATAGAATCATGGAGTAAGGAAGGAGGTCCTTCTGCCAGATCTGCCAGCAAACATAAACTGCTACCTTCACAAGGAGATAGCAGGAACTGCAGATGCTGGAGAATCTGAGATAACAAGGTGTAGAGTTGGATGAACACAGCAGGCCCAGCAGCATCAGAGGGGCAGGAAGGCTGACGTTTTGGGTCTAGACCCTTCTTCTTCAGAAATGAAGAATTCCTGAAGAAGGGTCTAGGCCCG